GTGGGAAGCAGAGACGGGACACCTCTTTGCAAAGCTTGGGACAAGGCAAACCACCTGACTGCCTGGCCTCCAGTCTTGTCCCTGAAGGCAATCACCCACCCTTCTGTGTCCCTTTTGTCTTGGTGCTCGAGTTTGTGCGTTGAGTTGAGCTGGGCATCAGAGGACCAGGGAGCTCACTGGGGCAGTGCAGGAGGGGATGCCCATGGGTGCAGCCATCCCTTGCCAGCTGTAGGCACCGGACAGCGCCTGGCCCTTGCTGGGGGATGGGCTGCCTGAATCTGGGGCAGATGAAAGCCTCAGGCTGCCAGCACTGCTTGTTGGTATGCAGGGAGTGCAGCAGAAGACCTGTGCTGGGGTCCCTTATTGCCCTGAGCAGCATCTCTGCCTGCAGGATCTCCTACTGCACGACGGATAAGCTGCAGAACAAAGTCTTCGCTTATGTTGCGCAGAGCCAGGAGAGCGGGGCGCTGGAGTGCCATGCCTTCCTCTCGCCCAAGAAGAAGATTGTAAGCACTTCTCTTCTGCTTTTGGCTCTGTGGGGTAAGGGTGGGAGCAAGGGTCTTCCTTCTCCTCTGAGAGAACAGAAAGCCCTTACCTCTCTGCACCTCAGCTGGAAATGGAGCCAGGGAGCATGCCTACTCACACTGCAGAGGCAGGTGGTGAGTAAACGAAGGTGCTCCTGTCCCAGCTCCTCCAAGATCTCCTCTCGGGGATGGCTGGCCCACACGGGTAGGCACAGCGTTGAGCATTGGCCTTCTGTGTGTGTGCTCCGCAGAGAAAGGGAGTGAAGGGAGTCCTGGGTCCCTGCAGATTTTGTGGCAGCGGGGTTGTTTGGCTTGAGATCCCAGATGGAAGCAGAGACCCTCTCTCTTTCTTGTACACAGGCCCAGGCTGTGACTCTGACCGTGGCCCAGGCCTTCCAGATGGCACTGGATCTCTGGGAAGCAGCACATGCAGGTAGGAGGAATTTCTCAACCATGTCCCTCAGCCTGACCCTGGCGTCGGGGTCTCCAGCGCAGGATTCTGTCTCGGGCTCTGCGGAGGAGCTGGCTCGCTGCCAGGCTGGGGACACACACCGAGCCCAGAGAGCGTTGTCTCCACTGTTGTGTTCTCTGCCACTGCTCCCCCAGGGGAGCCTGCCTGACCTCTGGCTGGGGCAGGGTGGGGGATGTTTCTGCTGTCCCTACTGACTCTTCTGCACTGCTGAGCTGTAGCACAGCTCGGGGCCTTCTGGTACCTGCCCCGAGCAGTGATCCCACCCCTTGTTTGCACCCTCCCCTGAGCACAGCATGGGTGTCTGTCCCTTGCCCACAGCCCTGCCTGTACCTCCCTTGCTGGGCTTTCTCCTGGTTGCAGGCACTAACTCTGCTGCTTTTGCCCTGTCCCAGGCTCTAGGCAGGAACAGCCCCTTCACCTTTCATGTGTCTTGGAGAGCATTGAGCCCGGCAGACCAAGTGAGCCAGCCCCCCCTGGGAGCCCTCCCTTCAGACACCAGTTTGGGGTACAGTATGTGCAAGTCTGGCCCATGCCTGGGGCTGTCTCAAATCAGGGCAGAGAAAGTGTAACCCTGACGCAGCTCCCTCCTCCCAGCCTTCCAGGACCCCGTGATACCCACACAGCCTGACCTGGAGGGGGGCACAGCGCTCTGCCGGGCTCACGCGCAGGTGTGGTTCCTCGGGTGG